CCTTTAAAATACACACACATACACACTGCTTGGGGAAAAAAAATAAATCCTCACATATAATAGCAGATGAATAAATTGGTCTTAATCTGTGTGTGTGTGTGTGTGTCTATAGTGCGGTATTCATAGGTGGTATGTAAAAAGGACTGCCTTATCAGTTATCAGGGGAGGCCAAATTGACACAGAGGAATCACTCCATTGTGTGTGGTTTCAAAGAGAGATGTGAGCACATTGGATGTCTCCATTTCCAATAACTGTGACCTTGAGGCAAGAGGAATAGCACCGTGCCCCCCCCACCCCCCCACCTCCAATCTGCTGACTGCTGAATTCAACCAGAGCCAGCTGATTTTGGGTGTTGGGGCGCAGGGCTAATCGGTGCTACCTCAGGGTTATTCTATAGGGTAAATTGAGTTTGGCTTTTATTTTTTCTGAACTGTGTGAATACAAATTACAATGGCCTGTGTACAGTTTTGTGTAGTCGAATATTTATAGCCTCTGTGTCTGTATTGGCTGCTATAAGGGTTAGGTATTGTATTACATAGCTTTACAATTAACACATTTCATAACAAGAGGAGATTAAGAAAAAACAGGAGAATGTGGCATGATTCAGAAATTGAACAATCTGCCATAGTTCTGCGGATCACCATGAACTGCTATGACTGCAAAAATATTTTTAAAAATGCATCACACTGTTTTAACATGGTGTGCAGCCAGAGTGTAACTGACCTCAGCTTGTCCCTTTCCCCTCCAGTTTAGGATCGTCTTGTTTTGTGGCAGCAAGCTTAAGTCTGATAATCATCTGCTTGATGTGGAACCAGTGATTCATCACTTACCATCATCGTTGTGATACCAGAGCCATGTTTTTATCTTTAATCTTCCCCAACAACAAACTAAACATCACTACACTCACTTCAGGTATTAACGTATCGGTTGTATCATACATACTGCTGGCGATGGCAGGAGCACAACAGAACATGAAAGTTGTCACAGTCAGAATAGAAATATATTAATCTTTTTACTTTTGCATGTTTTCCCAGTTAACACCAGAAATTTGGGAACATGGTCAGTTTAGGAATAAATGATGTTGATGTGTGACTTGTTATTAAAAGTGGTACTAGTTTATGGATCAATATGGAACGTCGACCATGTTTGTTAGAATTAGAAACCAATTGACTGGTGACCTGTTCTATAAAGCCATTAGCTGATTAGTGTGTGTGTGTGTGTGTGTGTGTGCGCGCACGTATTGCGCACTTATTCTTCTTGTTGATCATGTGCTGTCACTGCCCGCGTGTGTGTGTGTGTGTGTGTGTGTGTGTGTGTGTGTGTGTGTGTGTGTGTGTGTGTGTGTGTGTGTGTGTATGTGTATGTGTATGTGTATGTGTATGTGTATGTGTATGTGTGTCTGTCTCTGTCTGTGTGTGTGTGTGTGTGTCTTAGACCAGGTCTGTACAAAGTAGCCAGGTTCTTTTAGCACTCAGTCTAATTAATCCATCTCTCAGTGACAAAAGGATCCGACCCCTCCTTCCTCCGGCCCGTCCCATTGGCATTTTGGGGCAGAGGGATTCAGCAGGACCCCCGGGCACCCCTCCTGTCCTGACCCCTGCCCCCCCACCAGGGGAGCATCTGTGGATCGATCCGGGGCCAGCTGGCACCGGGGGAGTAGGGGCAGGACTGGTACCCTAATGCACTGTGCTCTAACACAAACACACCCTTCTTAAATGAAAGTCATTCATTGTCCTTTATGACAAAAATAAGCAGTGCAGAGTAACTGAAGGCAGGTTGCAGGTTTGATTCCTCTTCTTCTTTAGTGCTTTCCATGAGTCTTGGTACATGTGGGCTGGTTTGTGTGAGTGTAGCACAGAGCTGTAAGATACAGTTCACTGTTGGTCTTTAATGATGAACTGCAGTTGTACAGAGATGCAGCTAGGAGGCAGCATATAGCCATTACCCCTCCCTCTTTCCATTTTCTCTTTTTCTTTTTTTCTCTTAACACACACACACACACACACACACACACACACACACACACACACACACACACAGACACAGGTATTTAGTCATTCTCTGGGCTCAGAAAGAGAGAGCATATTGATAGTCCTATTCTCTCTGTAATAAATTAAACTTCTGTATTGTCCTTTCTTTTCATTTTACACATTGTCACAACCTCCCAGTCACCCTAATCCTGACTACCCCCCTCCTCATCACCTTCTCACACACACACACACACACACACACACACACACACACACACACACACACACACACACACATACATTGATTGACAAGTAGCATCCGGGGAAATAGAGCAGATTTCCATTGTTTGCTGCCTCTACTCAAATCTGTTGAAACGGTTATTCCATTCTTTCGCCAGGGTATTTGCATATCCTTAAGTATTTCCTATTTTTCAAGACCCATCTCCCCCGTCCCCCCCCTGTCCCCCCTCTCCTCTCCATCCTCCTTTTTCCTAAATCCCCTCTTCTTAAGTGTTTGGTGCATTTGGCAAATTCATTCATAAAGTATCTACATGCGTTATTAGCTTAGTATAATAGCCAGGGTGTAATCTGCAGAGAGATAAGAGGTGGAGAGGGAGAGTTTTTTTTCTTCTTCTTCTTCTCGTGATGGGCTGAGAAGAAGAGGTTAGTGGTGGGGCGATGATACGTCATTATGTTCCCCAGCCAAAGCGACAAGTCTCAAATGTCAGCACGAAATGTCAAGTGGCCTCGCTAGTCAGTTGGTCGGTCGGTTTCTTCTGTAGTTTTTTTTATTTAATTATTGGCCGGAGCAAGGAGCGAGGTGGGAAAGAGGAGGCAAAGATGGAGAGAGATGGAAGGATACGGGGGTTTGATGAGATGTACAGTGGGATGTGGAAGGATGGAAAGGCAGGATAGAAACAGAGGGATAAAGGTTAGAGAAACAGATTCTGATCATCTTTGCCAGAGAAGTTTTAGGTTTTGTGTCTTGTCCAAATGCACCTGGACAGTAGCTCTTGTGTAAGGGAAGGTGTGTGTTGCCTCAGCACGTCTGGGATTCACACCATCAACCTTTCATTGACAAGATGGCTCCTACATGCCAGCCACTTGAGCTCTTTAGCCCTGACTAAATACTTTGAACGAGTTATGAATCAGTCATTCAATCAGTTAATCTACTGGTTGTTTTTAAGATCATATTGATGATTATTTTTTACTGCATCCTTGATGTGATTATTATGGTTGTGAAGACACAGTGCATCATGAGAAAGTGTGAGTGGGTTGTGTGAGATTATGGTTTTTTGTTTGGCAGTGAGACATAACTTTAATAACAATCAATGCCAGTAATGTTTAATAGTTATAAACAGTGAGAATTTAAGTCACTACACACTGTGTTGGTACTCCTATGGCTGACCCATAGAGTTCTATTTCCTATTTGGAGCTTACATAGTTTCTCACAATATTACCAATAGCTTTACCACTCTGTACTGATAATAACTCTGTGTGTGTGTGTGTGTGTCCGTGTGTGTGTGTGTGTGTGAATGAATACCCTGCGGTCCTCAGCGATAAGGCTGAGATTGAGTTTTCCCCACAGAGCCAAAGCCTCTGAGATGTGTGTGTGTGTGTGTATGTGTGTATGTGTGTGTGTGTGAAGACATCAGGAAACAGGCAATGTAAAGAGCTTGTATCGCTTTATCTACCGTACACACCAGAGTGTATATGTATATGTATATGTGCTCTCAAACTGCTGTTGTGTGAAAGAGAGCTAGCTGCTCTGCTTTGTTCGGCATTGTGCACATGAGAGGATGAAACCTCGGGGCTTGATTCACAGCTGAGACAAGAAGGTATTTTTCTGTGCTGTAATAACACAAGTGTGTGTATGTGCGTGTGTGTAGGTGTGTGTACAGTCATATATGCTGTTTTTAGACATCCATGCAGTGAAATAGAGACAAAAGGAAAGACCAAGAGGAATCGGACAGATTTAAAGAGAGAGGATGTGTGTCTCTGCTGCCTGCTGCTTTCATTCCACATGGCCTGTGAAGAGACACGTGTGAACCTGTCTGATCCTCACGCTGGATTTGGTTCTAACATCAGTCTCTCCTCACATGCAAATGAACAGAGATCATTTAACCAGGGAAATGTGTTTCCCATCACAAAAACAGAATCTGTAAAAACAGAGGAGGCAGAACAGAAGAGAGGAACATGGTATGGCAGTGGTATCAACACAGCAAGGAGGTGAACCAGTCTGCTATCCACTGACAGCGTGGTGCTTCCATAGCCAGACGTACAGCAGACAAAACCCATCAGTTTTTGTTGGGAGGGAGAAGGAAGGCAGACAAAAGGCTCTAACATCCCCAACTGTTTAGTTTCCATATCTAGCAGTCAGTGACAAGGCTTAGGCTTTCCGGCAGTTCTTATTTTTCACAAACCGTCCTCTGGTAAGCAGTTGGTGTGTGTACACACACACACAGACACACACACACTCTCTCTCTCTCTCATAGGGCCATGTCACTGATTCCAGAGCTCTTATCATCTTGTCTGTGGCATATTCCCAAATTCCAATTTGACTGCTAGCCCCCGACCCAGGGCACATCTCTGAAAAGAAGTACAGCAGAAATGGCTTCAGCATGGACCTTTGATATGAAATATCAGGAGGGATTTTACAACCAAATTCACAATGAAGAGTGCAGGAGGGCACCGGTTTGAGCTCGTTCTGAATTTACCAACTAACAGTGACCAAACGTACCATTATTTATCTGGATGTTGTAATCACAGTCACAGTCAGTGATGAAAAGAATTATTCTGTTATTTACTGAACCTGAAATGCATGTTCCCCAAAGGAGGATGTAAAACAGTCAACAAAAATTAAACACTAATTAAGTCTTGCAGAATATCCCGAGATTAAATAAAATATGCCTCTGTTTTCTGTTTCGTCCCTGCACTGTCAATCTCATAACCTGTCAGTTGAGTGATATGGGCCTATATTCATCTGAATGTGCTTCATCTGTCTCTCTCTCTCTCTCCCTTCCTCTCCAGGAGTCTCCATCAGGGCGGAGGAAGGCCTTGGCTACCAGCAGTATAAACATGAAACAGTACGCCAGTCCCATGCCCACACAGACAGATGTCAAACTCAAATTTAAGCCCCTATCGAAGAAAGTGGTGTCGGCCACGCTGCAGTTCTCCCTCTCCTGCATCTTCCTCCGTGAGGGAAAGGCCACGTAAGTCTGGGTCTTTTCATGTAACGCCTTTTCTAGGTGGACGTAGGGTATCTTTTTATTATTTCTGTTATTAATCCTGTCATCTATTTTGAATTAAAAAAAAAATAAAACAAAATATGTTTTACTCCATTAAATCCTTGTCCTTGGTTAAAAGGTAAAGTAGTAGAGTAAAAACTATATACTGTATATAGTATATTCTGTATCACAGTATTCAATACTGTCTTTTGTGAAGAGTAAACCCACTTCTGAGTTCTGACTCCAGTCATATTGTATACAATCATAAATATAACCACCAGTCATTTACATGCAAACACAGCAGGTCTGAACTTTACTTTCTGGAAATGATAAGCTGAGTCAAAAAGCAGCTTTCCTGCACATTTTTAGGACTTATAAGATAGAATCTGGTTCATATTCAGGGATGGTACATCAGTCTAATTGATCATAAATGTCATAACGTTCCCCTTTTATTGTCTTCTCTGAAGTATAAACTCCTGTAGTGTTGATTTACAAGGATTACTGTTATCCCATTCAGCGTTCTTTAGTAAGCGAAGGCGGGGGTCGAGAGTTTTCCTCACGCCCTTTTATATGAGTTTGTAACGTTCAGATAGCAACCACTCTATATTACAATTACAGTTATATTACAAGTACTGTGTGTACCTTTTTTAATGGTGAAAATGTTTAAGAATATACATACACATAATGTATGTTCACGCATTTGTTATTCATTCATTCTCACATACTCCTCTTTGATACCACCAACCCACAGTCTCAGTCACGGTGTTTGCCATTTGTTATTCATTCTAATTTGATAGCAGCAACTTTCATTCAAAGACATGAGCACACACACACACACACACACACACACACACTAAGAGAGAGCAGAGCAGCAAGGCCTTTGTTGTGGCGCGGACGGCGGGTCGATGGCGCGTAACCCTTGTTAACCCTTCGGGGAATGATGTCGACCACACACAAACAAACTCCATCACACCAGTTCAAATGAGCCTGTGGGCCTGGGAAACACCAAACACAAAGAACAGAGAGGAGAATACAGCGATTATGATGAAGCTGTGGTATCGAGGGACTGCGGGGGTTTGGGTGGGGGGGGGGGGTACACAAGGCCACATAAAATAGAAGAAATATTGTAGAAATTGATGCATCTGCGAACAAAGTGGTGGCGGGGAAAAAACAGAGGCAAGGGGCGGATGGGGATGGATGAGAGAGGAGATGTTGAGTGGGGATGAGAGTTGAAGTCTCGGGTGTTTGTGACGGTAAGGTGTGGAGATGGAGGCAGAGACGGAGAAGGACAGAGAGCTGTCGTTATCCTTCTGTGGGATCTAGTTGTTGTCAGCTGTTAGTGAGAGCGCTCGGCTGAATTGTGTGTTTTTCTGTCTTCTTGCAAACACATTGAAAATAAAGTGTTAATGCATTTTCATTAAGGAATTTATGCATTTAAGAAAAAAAATCTCTAATAGTAGTTAATCTATTTAGGTTGTATCACTATAATACTCAAGTATAGACCTGGATTCAGTCTTTTAGTAGTGGGCTTGTTTTTTAAAACCATTACATGTGTATTATATGTTTTAAGAGCTGTTTCTACCTGTGAACACGAGCTCTCTCTCTCTGCGTTGTGTGTATGTCAATTGTGTGTTATCTGGGCCAGTGATGAGGACATGCAGAGCCTGGCCAGCCTGATGAGCATGAAACAGGCAGATATCGGCAACTTGGACGACTTTGAGGAAGAGAATGAGGAGGACGAGGAGAACAGGGTCAACCAGGAGGAGAAGGCTGCCAAGATCACAGGTAAAAATGGGCACAAAGCACTTTTTATTTCATTGACAAGTGACAGATGTGTCAGATGTATGGTTCTGTAAGATCAGAGATTCACATTTGGGTTTACGACTGATCATAAACTGTACTTTTCAGTGAAGAATTTCTGTGTGTGTCAGTTAAGTTGGTCTCTTATATCGGCCATTTTAGCAGTTAGCTGGTGAGTGCACTGGAAAAACTAATTTGACATTTACAGTGCTGATAATGTCCTGACCAATTTTCCCAAACTGAATAATTTCACTTGGGGGAACAGCTTCTCCAACGCTCCTGAATAATCACCCAGACCAGAATAACCAAGACCCAGGCTTCATGTGGGGCATCAACTTTGCTTCTGTGTTGATATGTTTTTCCTTCTAACTTTGTGCTTCTGTGAGCGTGAGCATGTGTGTGCTTGCTTAAATGCGAAGGAGTGAGAATTTGTAAATTCATGAGCTTCATTTACAGCGTTGAGTTCGCTTCAGGTTGTCTTCTGTTGCCTACGCTTTATTTTCCCCATCACACCCTTGTTCCTTGCTTTCTCGTCCTTCCCCTGTCGGTGGACTGGTAGACCGATGGTGGCTCGCCTCCCTCCATACATATATACATACATACATGTTGAGGATTCATTCTATGGTTTAATGTATGGACCCCGCTGCTTCCTGCGTTGCTTAATCCAACTTTTCAAAGCGCCATCTCTTCATGTTAAGCTTCATGCTTTCGCTCCCCTCTTTTCCCTCCCCTGCTCTTTGTCTCATTTATATGTATATGCATTGAGCGCCTACAGCGATTCACTAGCGTGCGTCTCTGCATCAAAGGACTGGCCGAGCTGCCAAAACTTCCTACTATCATATTCCTCCCTTGGATGATACCTACCCAACAAGCCAGCGAGCAACTCTAGCAATACTAACACTAAGCTAACCAACACATACCCCCGCAAAACATATGCTCTCTTTTTATCTCTTATATGAAATGTGTATAGAATAAAAAGAGAATGTTTTACACCTAAAAAGGATGTTTTGTACACCTCCATGAAAATATATTTTGTGTGTGTATTTGAATATGTACATTATATGTATTTGTCAGTCATGTGAGTGAGTGTTAGGTGTTCTTCAGTGCTATATACCAAGGTAACCAAGTGACATAAGCTAAGAAAGCTTTTCAAAAAAATATCATTTTAAAGTAAAGGTTTGCTTTTTTCAGCCTTCACCTGTTTGTGTGTGCAAAGTATAAAACTGCTTTGCAAAACCACAAGTTAGCTGTTATAGCAATGCTCTTACAGCATTACAGCATCTACATACACGTCCCTGTCCACAATTAGCAGTGTTTGTGTATCATCATCAGTCAGGTAATACCTTTCCAGCTAGTTAGCTAGCTGGTTTGTCATATAGAATAATACTGCAGACATAAACCTTGGTCCACACCAAAATATATGCACTGTTTTTTATCTCTATGTATATCTATGTGCAAATAAATGGAGTGTGTGTGTATGTGGATATTCTCAATGGGGTGTGTTATTTTGCCTTGTTCACTGCTATTCTTCCTTCCTCCCTTCCTGTATGGCCCTGTCGTTTACAGAGATAGTAAACCAGTTGAATGCCCTCAGCTGCTTACATGCGGATGATGATGATGATGATGATGATGATGATGAAGGTGGTGTCCCTAAGCGAGCACGCAAAGCAACCGCTAAGCCTGCCGCTTCCTCCCAAGGTCTTTTTTCACCTTTCTTTCACCTCCTGTTTTTCTGACTCGTTCATCGTCTTGTGAACATTGTGTCACCTCTACCCGACCTTTCATTACCACAAATTCTATCCATATATTTATTTTTCTTAATCCTTCCTTCTCCAGCTCTCCTTTTGTTTCTCCCCGGCTCAAATCCCCCTTCCTGAGCCTCGTTGACACTGGTATTGTGATCGTGTTGTGGTCATGTGGTGTTACAGTTTATTTTGGTTCATGTTGTGATGTGCTGTACAAGGTGTTGTGAACACATCAGTTGGTGTTCATCCTTTTGGTTCCTATTCTGTGTTTTTTTTTGACAGTGTGAACTTCTCCTTTATTTTACTGCAATTGGTAGTGAACCAAACCAGATAAACGGTTTCCAAATAGAACATCTTTTCAGGAAGACAAACGTTGTGCTGCTTTGTTTTAAAATTGGAATTAAGTGTATTTGTTTTTTAGTTGAGTTTTGGATCAGTGGTATTCTCATGTGGCCTCAAGCTGGTGAGACGCTTTAAAGTGGCAAAATGATCCATTGCTAAGTTAGATGCAGTCAGGTTGTGATGGTGTAACAAAGAGTGAAAAGTAAAGACAGAATAAAACAGAGTAAAGGTTTTCATTCTTGCCACAAGACTAAAATACATGGTTTTGCAGGCTAGTTCATTCATCAGAAGTTTCACTACATACTCCTTTTGCTTTTTGTAATACACAACAAACCTCAAATTTAATTAACATTTTAAGCAAAGATTTTCCACTTGTTTTGTGTTTGGAAAACAGAAGTTCGCTTCTTTAGGTTCTGAGGTTACTCTGCTTGCTTGGATGGTCAACAGTCAAACCACGCTACACACTGAAACGCACACAGATGTGAATACGCACACATACACATGTGCACTTGTCATGGCCTAAAATGGGTCTTGAATGTTGTCAGTAAGAGGCAAGGAAAAGTGCTGTACCTCTTATCAGCTACTGCCACTTCACATAGCCACACTACATATAGAGCAAGGGACTCGCATACACACAGCATTTTTCTCTTTACTCAGATTCTCTCGTAGCGCTCAGCAGCACTTCTTGGCATCTACCTCACACACATTTACACTCTTTTCAAACTGACCCACACCCTGGCAGCGTGCGATTGAGCTACAGTGAGGATGATGAAGATAAAGTGGACAAGGCTTGGCCTCTCCAGACAGCATCTCCATAGCAACTCCATGCTGCCTTCACTGTCTCCCACAGTAACCCTCCGTATCACACAAGGTTTCCCAGAATGCCACTGTTGTATATGCATTGAAGTTGGCTGAGGTGGCAGAGAAGCACAGAAAAGTTTAGGCTGCGCTCCCCAGCAAGAGGGATTACATACGAGACTGAACGGTCTCTTGCTCGTGGTTCACTCCAAAGTGCAGATTTTTGGTATATTTGGCTTTGTGAATGTTTGTATTCTTTTCATTCTGGGAAATGTATTGCTGTTATTTTTGACCCTGTAGTTATCACTGTTCTTCATTATTCTCGTTCATTTATACGACTTAACGCTGGAATCTGTGGCGACAGAGTTGATCAACAAGCTGAACTTCCTGGAAGACGAGGATCAGGAAACGCCTCCTGCCATGAGCACCAATCCCTTCGACGAGCCCGATGACGACCTTCATCCTAACCACCTCAACCCATTCGGTGATCCCGATGAGGAGGGTATGTTTAACTTATCTTAAGTGTGTTCAGTCTGATGTTATTTTGGTGGATGGATATTGTCAGCACAGGAATTTAGACTGGCTTTAGACTTTGATGTTATTATCACGTATTGTTACCACAATAAAAGTTTAGGTTTATTTTGAGAGTGTCATTGAAATATCAAGCGATGTAAGATTAAGTTTGGACACACACAGACTGTGAATGTGTGTGGTCATGTGTAACTATAGCAGGTGGGCTCCAACGCTTTCAGTCAGATGGCTGAACCAATATTTTTGTCTGACCACCTGAGTGGTTTGTTTTTGAATGACACGCTCCCCCACTCTGTTGCTTGTTTAAGTTGTCTTTAATCTGAAGTCTAGGATTTTAGCTTGTTGTTTTTCTATATATTCAGCCTCATCTCTTGTGTGACATCCTAATCTTATTAAACCAGTATTGAAATTTTTCATAGTTTTATCCGTTTTATTTGCTTTGGGGATGATACGGTCGCTGTTTTTTGTTCAGTAGCAGCTGTGTGTAGGCATGCATGTGTGTCTGATGTTGTCAGCTCCTGCGGATCTGATCATATGCATTTTTTGCCCAGGTGTGACTTTTATTAGAACTGTTGACATTAGCAAAATAAAATAGTCCAGGGGGAATCCACAGGTTGACTTGTGGCTCAGGTTATTTTAAAAGCACAATATGAGAAGGCAAATAGGAAGTTAAGTCCATAATGCTCAGCTGGTTACCAGGACTACAGTCACATTTATTTTGATTCCCCTCTTGAAACGAGTGGGGTGACAAGCTACCGAAGCTCTTGTCAAACAAAGGAGATATTATTGATTCATTGAGACTGTGTTTTATTCCCGTACATAGTGTGTGTTTTATATGCAGTCAGTTTTCTCTCTTCTCCATGGAACAGAGCCTCCTACACAGCCGGTCTTACGGAAACGAGTAGATGACGATTCCTTCTATGACCACGACTCCTCAAATCCGTTCAGTGAGCCGGATGAACCAGACGCACATACGCCAGGGAACCCCTTCGAGGAGCCGGACCAGGACATGGACCCCCAGCCAGACCCAGAACCCCCAAAGCCCAGGCAAAGAAAAGGCGTACGGCCTGTTGACATGAGCAAGTACCTGTATGCCGACACCACTCACAACGAGGAGGAGGAGCTTGACGAGTAAGACTTTATTTCTTCATTACGTTCTTCTTTCCTCTTCTAATGTTCTCAGTCAACTGACACAGGAAACAGGGAAATATGTGAAACCGGACTTTTAAGACCTTGGCTACTGATCCATTGACATTGTGGAGGTACAATATTTTCAGATGGGAACATCAGACATTGATGGAGCATTAATTTGAAATTATGAAGGTTTTGTCTTGTTGTATTTTTCCACTTTAACTTGCACTAGTTACAGCTGCACTTGGTGCAATATAAGGAGACCTGAAGCAAATTTCTTTGTGTATACAGTGCATTTAACATTTTTCTGTGTGTCAGAGTATAGAAGTCCACGCTAAATTGTTTGCTAGGGGGAGTCAGATAAACACACTTGCCTAAACTGTTGAGCAGAATAGCCTTCTGACGGGGTTTCTAGTAGCTCATAGTAGAAGCACTCTGGAAGGATCCAGACTGTCTAGTTCAGTTACTGTTGGCAGGCCAAGTCCTCTAAGACCCCTTCTTATAGAGGAGTACTTGTAGCCCCCCCCCCATCAAGGCAGAGTGACGAGGCAGCTCTTTCAACAGGAACAAGGGCGCTGTTGTTTCACTGCATTCTTTAAGCTTGTCTCCCTCCTTTCCCTCCTCGTCGCTCCTTCCCTCCCTCCTATCAATTTGTTGCCCCATACTTTCCCTCCTTGCCATCCTCCTTAACTTCCTCCCCAGGCTCTGCTCATTTTTATTTCTCTTGCCTCCTCTTTCGTCCTGCTCACCTCACCTCTCAGTTACTTCATAAGCAAGAAAATTTTAAGTGGTTGACATACTGTGTTTGTAATATGTGTCTCCAAAACAACTTGACAGGTGTGTGAATTTTCATTTTCAGTTTTGCTGCTCACTTGGTCGTGGCGTTGGTTTATAATTAAAGAAACCATGCAGTCAGTCAAAGAGGAGTTACATCTGTGACTACCTCAGCAAGTTTTCATGACATTTAATCAGTGATTAAGAGTTGTAACAAAGTTTGATACTGTGAGGATCCTTTTGTTGTTGTAGTCTTTCACTGATTCACTGATTGTGTGTGACCTCTGCAAAAGAGTGTCTGTGCCTAAATTGTAAACTGGTAGGTTTTGGCTGTTGAGAGAATCTGTCACACAGACGGCCGTATGTTTTAGTCCTCTGGGCTGCCTAAAGACAGACAGGTTATTGACTGGCATGTTTCTTTTGCCCTGTCTCTTACATCAGGAGCAGTTCTCTGCAGAATAGAAAGTTCAAGAGGGCAGCGCAGTGTTTTGACTGGAGCCCTTTCACATGTCTTTTAGCCGGTGCTGGTCTGTTAAAGCTTCTCTATAGACCTGCCTGATTTTCTTTTCTTCGCGTCCCTTCTTTTTTTCCCCCCTCTCTGTCGCTCTGCGGTCAGATAGACACTGAGTAGCTATAACCTCCTCTTTCAGGCAGATACCTAGTCAATCAGTTTTTTTCTTTCCCACTCTCGCTCTCGCCCCCACCCTCTCCATCCAATTCTCTTGTTTGTTTAGGATTGCTTGTTGCATGTTGAGTGACTGTCTCAAGGCCATGCCCCTGCTTTCAGTGCCACAAGCATGCCTGTATATTGATAACACTCTGGTATGTGTGTAAGAGCAGCTATATGTGTGTGCTTCGGTGCATGCTTGCATGTGTGTGTGTGTGTGTGTGTGTGTGTGTGTGTGTGTGTGTGTGTGTGTGTGTGTGTGTGTGTGTGTGTGTGTATGCCTTAGTGCTCCTGCCTGCCTGTCTGTCTGTCAGTGCTCCACCTTGGGCAGTAAGGATATGAGGTCACTCAGACCTGACCTCAGTGCACCTGCATCTTCTATTACCTGACCACTTGTGTGTGTTGTTCATTGTATTTCACCAAACTCTTGTTTCCATGTTGCAATTTCCTTATGTTAAATTAAATAATGAGCAGTTGAAGCCAAAGTTGGGTTAAAATAGTGCTGGTGATTTTTATAATTCATTTCTAGGTGTTTTAATGTTCAGTCCACAATGTTTCCTGTGTGCTCTTGTTTTGTCATTAAATGTTTTGTATTTATTGCACTGTTTTTCTTATGTATTGTGTTTTATATAAATCTGTACAACAGTTTTCATTTTTTACATACTTTACAGTTTTGGTTTGGTCACCTGTTAACAAACGCTGTTGGTCTTTCCCTGAGGAAAAAGGTCATATAAATCTGGATACTTTCACACTCATCTATCTGTACACATGACTATAGCTCCACTTTAAAAGAAGAAATCATGTGTAACATTCATGCACTTTCTAACATGACATCTTTTTGTCTCATCTCGCTCTCTTCTGTCATCTCTCCCTTCCCTCCATTCTCAGATCCAACCCGTTCTACGAGCCAAGGACATCGAGCCCTGCGCGGCCCCCCGCTGGCGGCCCCTCCCTCGATGTGGGCAGCAGCCAGAAGAGGAGGGCGCCCCCACCCCCAGGTTCCAGCCCTGGCCTCAGCCCCAGTCCGCCAGCTCCCAAACCCAGCGCTGGCCCAGACAGGGAGAGAACCCAGCCAGTCGGGCCCAGCCCAGTGGCAGCAGTGATGGGGAGAGAGCTGGCCTCCTCTTCCCCCAAGGTAAACAGGCTTCACTTGAATTTAATAAACTTTGATTTATCCCCACGACAGACACACACACACACACACACACACACACACACATGCAACAACAATAGAAATACTGCAATAAAATACAGCCTAGCAGCCTCAACAATGCATTGCAGTCTGTTGCTTAATGCCCACTGGGTTGGGATGTTAAAGGACTTGAACTTTTTAACTGTTTTCCCTAAACAAGTATTGAAAACAACCTCCATTTAAAACACAAGGCAAATGTTAAATGTCGTTAAAACACAGTCAGTTGTACAAGAACTTTAGAAACTGTCTGATCAAAGAATAAGTAAAGAAAGGTAGAAATATGAGCCACCATCTGATGCTGTTTTTGGCAGCTGGCTGTTATCTATACTTGATGCTATGGACAGATGTTGGCTGGTACCAAAACGCCCCAGCCCTAAATAGTGGAGTTATATTTGAATAATGGTCAGAGTTTGATGACTTAAATGTAAAATGTATGGAATGGGCACATCTGAAATAATGATGTAAGGGTATTATGTTGCTTCTTAACAGTATTTAGATTATGTGGGGATCCAGGGGGGGCTCAGCGTCCCTAATAGCGATGACTAAAGTTTCAGTTAATTTGCCAAATACAGTAAAAGTAAAGACATTTTAATTAGAAAGTAACACAGACAGTACATCTTTAATATATACTGAATGCTAAAATCCCAGAATTCCACAGCTTTAGGCAATAGTCTTTCTACTATTCTTCATTTTGGCTCATTCTTTGCAACGTATTATTATAAGTGAGTGACTTGAAGCATTGTGTGTGTGTGTGTGGTTGTGTGTGTGTGTGGTTGTGTGTGTGTGTGTGGTTGTGTGCATTTGCTCTTGTGCGTCCACGTCCAGTGGTCCTTACATTAGCTTTTTTTCCGCCTGCACAATCCCATCTTCTGCCCCATTCTTTATGCTCATGAAACTCCCCAGCTCCTCATTTGAATATAGGTATTTGTTTATTGGGGTGTTTTCGTATGTTTATTTATTTATTTAAATTAGGTAAATCATGGCTGGGTCTAATTAAATGGCTGATGGTCACACACACTCACTGCAGGAGTCAGACCACTGGTGGGGAATGATTGGCTGGGGGTGTAGGGATGGGAGGGGGTTGAAAATGTATGTGTGTGTGTGTGTGTGTGTGTGTGTGTGTGTGTGTGTGTGTGTGTAGGGGCTCAATGAGCCTATGTGGGGCTTAAACACAGGGGGCTTAACTACAGCAGAGCGATCAGAAGGGGGTGTTGACCCCCTGTGCACACACACACCCACACATGCAAACACACTCTGTACAGTTACTTATACACACACAGACACACACAGGTCCCTCCTCCTCATGCAGCTGGCTAGCTGACTGTTTTAGTGTAGCTGGGCGGTGATGCTGGCCGTCCATGTAATTATGGCACAGTGCCTTTATCACCCAGCTGCAGTTGCCTGTGACCGTGGGTGAGGGGGCCTAAACCACTTTAATTACCCAAAGCCAGTGGCCTGTGGTGGGCCACACTTCGCCAAGAGATGCCCCTGCCTCTGGAGCTTGGGGTGGAGGGAGGGAGGGATGCGAAGAATGAATTGTGGGTGAGGATTGGAGGGTGTTTGGGGGGTGGGGGTGCGCTGAAGGAGAATAGGTGGAAGATAGTGAAGGGTAGAGGAAAGAGGAGTAGTGGGGGGAAGAGAAGGAAGATGGCCAGGGAATTGTAGAAAGAGAGATAGGATGTTCACAGTAAACAAGGATAGGCCTACAGGGTTTGTTGACATATACTGCTAGTGTGAATAGGTTTCTCTTTCTTATTCACACAAGGCACTATGACACACACACACATGCACGCCTCAGCCATGTGTAGGCTGTGAGATGACCTTTGAATGTATGAAGTCAGAGAGGATTAAGAGGAGACATTCCCACTATGAGAGGCCAAGACGAAACCAACACATCATCACACTATGAACGTGTACAGAGTGTAGATGCTTGTGTTCACATGCAGCTATGTATCTGTTCTTATAGTTTCTTATGAGCCTTAGGCTCAGTTTAGTGAATATGGGCTGGGGCATTTATAACCTTCCCCTACAACACAACTAACCTCTACTTCTCTTATATAAAAGCTTTCAAGGTGTGCATTTATTTCTACTAACTATTCATGTGGGCAGGCAGTGTGTAGGACCAAGATAAACACACACAGACAACTAGGTCTAATCTCAGAATGTGAATAGAAATTGATATATATTGAAAGTATGTACAACCTGCCCTGAAGGGTATGAAATGTCTCATATGCAGTTTGTTAAATGAAAGCTGTGCTAACCACAAGAGATTAGCATGTCTCTTATCCTATTTACATTATACAAATGTATTCAGTGTAAAGGTAACAGTAAGTGCAGCAGTTCGATCATCATAGTAACGTCCTACAAATAGTTAAGAGTGTAAGGGTCGGAGCTTCAGTGCCCAAATAATATTTCTGTGATCATGGACTGACATTTAAAAGATAGAAGCAGAAGAAAAATGAAGACACCCAAAGCAGGAGCGATACGAGCAAGGTACAGCAGTGGAGAGGAAGGATGTGAGGAAGGTTATATTATGGATCGTAGGGAAATTGTGATTTAAGCCACTGAAGTACATATTTATTATATTCTAAAAATGAAGAGTGTCATATTTCAACTTCACTATAAATTCTTGTCCTCTGCGTGTGTGAATTATGCAGATTTAGCATTAAACTTTGTCTTGGATGTAATTTTATCCTCCTCCTCATTGCATTAAAAACGCCCACTTCACTGCCAGCTTGTGGAAAATCAGGACATATAATGGACATATGGTGTGCGCCCACTTACTCTGTATACAGGTATTACACATATGGATCGGATTTACATTAAGCTCTAACAAGAGCTCTGAGCTCTGGATTTTTGCCAGCGCAGCACACGTTCAGCACTAGCGATTTATTGACAGGACAAGACGGTAAATGTAGATGTGCAGCCTGCTGCATTCATAGAGTTTCCAAAATCATTTGGTGTCTTTATCCATGATGCCTAGATGAGCATTTTAACTCTGTATCAAAAACAACAATCTCTGTCCATACTAACACACATGAAAACACATATCACATGATCATTCTGTTTGTTGTCTTCTGGAAAAGGGTCACGTGACGAATCAGAGAAGGAGACCCCACATCCCCGGAGTTGTCAAACTAAAACGGGGCCAGCTGTGTTTCCAAAAGTTTCTGTTTTAGGGACTGGAAACCTCCACACTAGTACGGACACCAGGAGTAAATGTAGCAAAAGTGATGCAATACAATTAAAACATATTAGTGTGGCGTTGTAGGAGGCAAAACCTTAATCCAGGTCACTGTGATTGTGGTCGTTTAGGGGAAATACATGTCTTCACTATGACCCAGTTTTATTTTTATATCATAAACTTTAACTTTTACCGCCATTGAACATTCACGAATGCCACAAACCTTTACCATTCTCATCTTTGAATATACGTATAGTATGTTAGCTACCTCCCGTTATGTTTGTTAGTATCTTAGTTTTGTCTCCAGGTTGGTGAAAGTGGCACTTGAGTCTCTCGTTAGACACCTCATGATGTATCCCATGCAGTGTGTTTGTCCGTTGTCCCATCTGGGAAATATAGATCCTCAAAGGCGTCAAGTTTAAGTTTAGCATCTGTGAAGGAGCTGGAAGGATGGAAACGTCTGTGGGATTAATTTAAATGAACAGAGAGAGTTCCCGTTGGGCGGGCTGCGAGCTCTGTCTGGTCTGATTCAGTCCATCTCTTTTCCCTGGGGCTGATTTCACTCCTCCCAGTAATTCAGTGATCCCCTGCTCCTCCTTTTTTGTTTCATCTCCATCTCTATTTCATAGTCAGACCGCTCTACACTTAGATGCTCTGATCTTTGGATTTTCATCAAGTTTCCGGTTCATGAACTATTAGCCTTATTTTCATATAAGAAAAGTTGGAAGCTGGCATATGTCTGTGGGCAAAAGTTTGAGCAAAGAAGTTCTATATTATCTTAATATCTACACAAAGACTCTTAGAAAGAGTAAGGCTTCTTCAACTTTCAGTTGGTGGTACTTTGTGGGTTATGTACGTACTGAAATTATTGGTTGGTTGGTTTTTTATGGTTTTTGGAAGCACCTCCATGTCTATTGCTTTACTCTAGTCTTTGTCAATATCTCCTAACTCCATGTGCTACTTCCTGTACAAACTATGATATAAAAAAGGTATAACTTACAGTCTGAACCTTAATCTTCTATGTCTTTACCACTTTTCGCTCTATCTCTCTCTCTTATTCGCACACACGTGAACACACACTCATCCTTTCCAGAGGTGAGAAAGTAAACCAACACCAGAGGTATGTTTTCTTTCCCCCTTCAGTTGAAGGGCTTGTGTGATTACTTATGTTAATCAAAGGGTTGAAATTAAATAGAGTTTTGCAGGTTGTGAGAGCTCCTGTGCCGGGGGAGGCAGAGGCCACAGCTCTCCTTCGTCTCCCAGACTTTGTTTTCACAGCCTCTCCTTCAGTTCAGACTACCTCCAAATTGAAATTAGAATAAATTAACATTATTTAATTGAGTTCGCAGAAGGCTGCGATATTTCTTAATTAGCTTTCACCGGGGTACGCGGCAGGAGAGGACCACATCCACACTGTCAAGTGTTACTGAGGTTGCCGTGATGACTGAGGGATGTTTTTGGAGGACAGAGGGGAGCCCAAGAGACAAGGACAGTCATCTCTTATGATCTTTCCCCTTTCCAAGGTCTCTCATCTTGTTATCATCACATCCAGTCCAAAGTTATTCCATCTTCTCTGATAAGTTTGACATACCTTTACACAAAGACTTTCAGATGTAGGTCTTAAAGAAAGTAAGGCTTAGGTTGATGATGTTAAATAGGCAATAGGCATTGGCAACTGTCTAATACTAAATATTGAAGAATTTATTAATCGTATATGTTCTTGTATTTCAAATACTGTTGTCAAGACACTGGCCTTTAC